CGAGCTTAATATTCTGCATTGTTGAACACCGAGTGGTACATTTTTTACTCTCAATGACTAAACCAATATTTATTGAAGTTACATCGTAGAGGTAACGATGGGATTGTAATATAGAGCTTCAAGTAATCTATTACATATTGGCTTTGTTTTATTTATTTCTATAAATGTGGCAATCTCATTCAAGTGTTGAATTCTATTTTATTAACGCTTATTAATTGTCAACAATATATATAAATGTATTTTATTTTTTTTTAAATATAGAATTAAAAAAAAAACAGATTTTTCAGACGTTGAAATAAAATTTTTAAGTATAGAAATAATGAAGAATAGTAAAATATATTTTCAAGTTATTAAAAAAATCTAGTATTAACACCAATTTTTTTTTCACAGAGAATATTGGAAAGATTTAAAAAGTTAAAAAAGGAGTATTCTGGCTAAAAGTATGGCTTGAAAAAATTTTTATAAAATATTCATTTTTCTCGATAACAAAGACTAGGATTTTCCAACGAGATTCTGGGTAAAATTTTATGAAGAAATCTTGATTTTAAATAATAAATTCATAATGAAATTTTGCTTTGGATGTTAAAAAATCGAGTAAAAGTATCACTGAACTGAGCAAGAGTTTTCAAAGTGTAAATAATTTATTTTTCTATTTCTGAATAATATTTTCATAATAAAAAATCTCACCTTAATAATTCAAAAAAAATTATTCTTTATTTTTATAACTTTTATCTTTAGAAAAAAATAAAATTTATTATTTCTTTCAATTTAAATAATTGCAATCTTCCATATATTTTTGTTATAATTATCTGCTGAGTATACTTCAATTAATTAATATTATAGAATTTTATGAACTACGTAATTATTTAAAAAAAAAAACTATAAATATTGAAGTGATAGCACTATTAAAAGGATTTACAAATTAAAACTTAAACCAAGCTGACAGAGAATAAATTGCTCATGAGTGTATGAGAAGTAACATGCGAAGAGCTTAACTACGGCTCTATTAACCCTCTTGAAGCTTTGAGATTCCCTGTATGAGCAAGATGATGCACTGCAGTAAAGAGCATGATTACAGTATTACCTTTTATGCTTTACAACCGCTTCATTCGTTCATCGTCGTAGCAATACTAGATGTTAAGAAGGAGGAGACTGTGTAAAGCAGCTGACGACAAATCGCACAACAGAAGTCATCTTATGGGTACTCATGAATGCTGTATGTATTTGAAATTAAATGGAGTAGAAGAGTGTCTTGGAGCGAATTTAACGCAAGTAGTTTGTGTAATGAGAGGGCTTTGTTATTCTCCAAGGGTAAGTACATACTATGGCTTGTAGTCATAGCAAAGTTACTCTTAATTAATGCATTAAAATTTAACTTATGTCTGAACAAATATTTCATAATCTCATTATTCTTAATGTAAAATCTCTTTTTTGACTTGTATATCTTAATTTGCTGTGACCCTTTGCTGATATACATCATTCTATCTTTTTATTTTGTACCACTAATTTCTAGAATTTGGCTAGAGAGCATGTAGTTGTAATGATATCTTGAATAAATTTCAACATTTATTTCTTTTATTAAAGTAGATCTCCTTATAATAGAGTTTAATTTTCGAAATTTTTATTGAAACTTTTATTTATATAGACTCTTTTAAAAATCATTACTTAAAATATTATTCAAAACAAGCTTCTAATTTAATTTAATGGGTATTAAATGTATAATGATATTTATTTCTATATAAATTTATATAGATTTACGTATTTATATTAATTACTCATTTAAATTATGAAGTGAATACATATTTATATTAATCGAATATTATTTAATGAAATAATCATTCATAATATATTGATTTAGTAAATGATTAAATGCTACAGAGATAATTAATAGGAGTAAAAAATGAAATATTTTATTAAATACTATCAAATATTTAACGGAAATGTATACATTACATTCTATACTTGGAATTTAAAGTTCAAAAAAAATGAGTCAAACAATAGAGTTTTTTTTACGTGATTAAAAATGAAAAAAGTACTTGCGTAAAAAAATAAATGAGATTTTGATGAATACGTTTTCAATGTATTCTTTCTAAATTTCATGTTATTTTAACCTTACATAATATTTTGCTTCGAAAAACTATAAATGTTCATATATATATACAGAATTTTTACTTTTTTCAAGTCTTTTGAGAATGTTACTAAAAACTGTATCAAGACTCTTGAATTCAATTTCGACTCGATTCACTAGATGTCCCTTGAGAAGGAAGATGAGAAAAACTCGTCTACCCTTCAATGTTTGGTTGGTTTTATTTGTTTGTAAAAATCACAAAAAAGTGGAATAAATGTAAACAAGATATCTTTTTTTACTCATGTTGATTGATATAATATTTTGGGCATAGGGGATATGTAGTACATACCTCCAGCTATTTTTCTGAATACAATACTGAGATAACAAATTCTAAAAGCTTTTTATCGAACGAGAATAAAAGTATTGTGATTTTTTCATCAGCTTTTCTTGTATATCACTTTTTTCATATGAATGATAGCTCATTGTGTAAAGAGAGTAAAAGAGAGAGAGAAAGAGTGTTTAGAGCCCTTAACAATATTATTTTTTATCAAATTACAAAAGATATCTTTCACACCAACCCCTTCAGAATGTCCTTCAGACAGTGAGGTCGTCTAAAAACGCGCTTGCGTATTTATAATATTTCGAAGACTCCAATAAGAATTCTGTACGTAATCATATTCCAATAAAAATTTTATTCCAGCTATTTCACTTTTTTCGGTGCTTTCATAAATAAAAAAAATAATCGAATAATAAGAAACTGTAATTTATGATCCATGACAATTTCTGTTTTATCTTGATAAAATTTTTATTGTCAATTCAACGAAATCATTTTGCAACATGTCATCAGTGTATAAGAGAATAAAAATAACTTAGTTATTTTTTAAAAGCAATTCTCAATTTTTTTCATTTTCATTTGATTTATTCAAATCTTCACAAGCTAAAACAGCTGAATACTTTATCCTGTTCCACTTTTGGATCCATCGATCGCCAGAAAATATTCTAGGGATGCCAGTATAGCTTCGCATTTAACAGTTGATCTCTGTTTAAATCATTTAGATTGGATTCGCTAAAAGAAGAAATTTTTCAACAAAACGTTGAAGTTCTTGAATATATCACTAGGGTTTTTTCAGAATTTATTTTTGTATATAAATGTTTAAAATTACAATGAATTAAGAAATAATTAAAAAAAATATTTGATCGAGAATTGTCAGTTCCCATTTTGCACTAAAAAAATTTGTAGACGTAGGACCAATACTGTATCTTTTAAATTAACTATCTAATTTGTAAAATCTATAATATTGTCGTTGCAACAGTACTTCATTAACCAAAATGGTTAAGATAGTTGGTGACAGCTATCCAGATAGTTATAATAGCTATCCAAACAATTAGAGTAGGCATAATGATGGCTGTAAAAGCCATATATTCCAGCTATACTTTGGATTGCTCCTACTACAATATTTTTTCAAATGCAAATTGCAGATTAGATGATGAAGATAACAAGCTTTCAGATGCATTACCATCTATTCAAATCTGACTATAATCTGATTATTATAGTAATGTGATTAATGAGAATTCTAGGTTACATGATGTTTTTAAAAATTAATAAAGTCTTTATTTTTTTGATATATTTCAAATTTTTAAATATTTACATTTCCAGTGAGAAAATAAGTAATAAATAGAACACATAATTATATTAAATGTGAAGTTTAATTAAACTTTAACAATTCTATATTTATTTTTGAAATATTTTTTTATTTGTATTATCATCATATAAAGTATAATATAATTAAACATTGTTATTCACAGCCTTAAATTTTAAAACTAAAAGTCTCTGGAAGAGCAAAGTCGTAGAATTTTTCGAAAATTGCATGCATTTTATACAACTGGCTTACGACTAATTTTTAATGTGTCTTAAACAATAAATATTTTTCAATAACTATTAGTTAAAATATATCATTAATAGTTAATCAATGGGTAGATACTTAAGATTTTGCTGATTAAAAAAGTCATCAAAGCCATTAAATCAGCGGTAAAAATTTTTTAAAAAACTTGAAAACTTTAAAAGAAAAATTTTTCTCGAGCATCAGTGACAAATGAGCGGTCTAGTTTCCATTTCAATAATCAATTCTCGGGTGTCTCTTTATCCTCAACAACACTCGGTTTACCTTTCGATTTATCTGTTGTGTGAGAGTTTAAGCTGTAGAAAGTTTGTTTCTTCTTTGTTGTTATTTGTCAGTTTAGTTTAGACGATAAAAGTTTATAGTTGTGCTTCAATTGTTCTTTACCAACTGTTTGTGTATGAGGAAATTATTATCTCGAGAATAATATATAAAAAATTAAGTAAACTGTGTTTATTTATTCTTGTATCATACAATATCTCTTAATTTATCATTATCAATCATTAATATTCGTAAATAAATATTTACAACGATCACATTAATAAATTTAAAATTAATACATTCATACATAATTTATAACAATCACTATTGAATAACAATCATTGATTGGTGGTTTAGATAATTAGTTTATTCTTTGTTTAATTGTTCGTGAAAGCTTGACTCGCTCGATTTTATTGCAACAATATTTAATAATTAATTATTTTAATAACTGACCATTTTCATGAAATACCGTTTATTACACTCGATGTCAAGTTTCACATAATGAAAACATGAATTTTCATCATTTTATTTGTCAACATTTTACTTTACTTTGCTTCATAAAAAATTTTTCTTTTATCATAACCATTCTAAATGAGAGTTTTCTCCTAATCAAAATAAAGCTAAGTATATTTATGTAATTTATATGACAATTTGTTGTACATTTATGTAATGAAAATTTAAGATTAAAAAATTTCATTTTTCCAATTATATATTTCAATATTCTTTTTAAAGTCCATTAAGAATAATTGGATTAATATTCGCAACTTGCTATATTTATTTTTAGAATGTTGATTACATTTCATCTTTCAGGTAAATATTTGTTTTTTGTACAAAAAAAACTTTCTCTCATATTCATCATGTAATTCAATAATTTTTTTTTGTTCTGACATGACATTATTTAGCTTTGTTGTACGCAATTTCTCAAGAATGGGCTATTTTTAGTGCTGTCATTAATCAAACTCTTGTGAAACAGTTGATGAGAGCACGTGCGATTTGGCGTTTAATCCAAGTGAAACAGTTTTGTGTACTTCCATTTCAAGCTGAAGCATCTGGTGTTTTCTTTTTCAATTTCGTTTTCTGTTCCGCCTCACAGCCGTGTGAGGATATACTGACGGTAAGATACTCTTTAGACAATCTGTTTGACTTGACGCTGACTCGATTCACTGAGTTCATTTAGAACGCGAATGATTTCAGATTGACACTCACAATTGAAAGGTCAATTGTTTTGGACAACGGCAGACATGTGGAAATTGGAGACGACCAGGGTACACTAGAGTATTTCGTAAATTTATCCAAGTCACGTCAATCCTCTTGCTTGTCGTACTCATGAAATTGGCTCGAGGAAGGTCTGATTGATTAGTCACGTGAAAAACGTCATGCAGCAAGTGGTATACCTTCGTACTGCTGCCACCAACCCAAAAAAAAAGGCCAACATCAGGCTTCTGAATAAATCAGGTGATGAATTTGAACTATCACCACTATGCATTGCCGCTGGTTTTTCCTCTTCTGTAACATCACCAGCCTTTTAGATCAATTATGGTGCAAAAGGAAAATTCATGCATTGAAAAAAGCATATAAAACTTAAAATTTATGAATTTCTTTTGATATTCGGTCGAATTAACCTTTGGTTCTTTGAAAAAAATATCTGCTTGAGCTATCATTAATAACGAGTAATTTTTTTAATAACCATTTTTAAATGATTAATGATGAGTAGACTTTGTGAGAAATGTAATGAGGTACTGAGTACTAGAATTCATATAAAATTTTTAAAATAGAATTTATTTCATGTATAATTTCGTATTTGACATCCAATCACTACTTTTAAAAAGATAAAAAATTAATAAGACAAAAATTTTAAATGAATTGTCCAAATAAAAAGTATTATAGTACAGAGTATTAATATAAATTGGTGATACTCATATTGTAAAATTATTTATGATTGAAATTTTTTTAACATAGGAACATGCTAAATATAATATGTGACGATATAATTAAATCCATCAATATCACATAAACAAAGTTATATTCAATATTGATAATGCCTCTTATCATTCGAAGCACTCATTGTATTAAATTGTATTTTGATGCTACTAAGTACAATATTCTTATAGAAAATTAAAAGTTGTCTCCTAATTTTTCAAAATGATTTATCTTAGAAAATCACAAAAAAAAATTCTTGAAATAATTTCTTATTAAATAAACAATCACCATATCTTACAAAGAGGTATTTATTACTTTGTGAAAAATGAGTTTTTCTATCGAAAAACACTTCAGGAGTGTAATTTATATAAAAATTTGACAACACACTGATATCAGAGGTGATTTAGATAGCCTATTTGAGTCGATAGAAAAACTCAGCAACTCTTTTATGAGGTTCATGTATGTATAACCCTAGTCTTGAGTGAAAATTGGCTTTATAGATTTCTGAATGAGATGAGAGGGGTATAGAAGAGAGGAAAAATAGGAAATATAGGAGAATAGAGGATGAAAAGTACTTACCCTCGATAACATGAATCATGACAGAAGACGCTCGAGCGTTGCTAGGTTGACATGTGTAGTTGCCACCATGGCTCAATTTCGTCTTGTCAACTATAAGAACTGATCCATTTTTCGTAGCGTCGACTTTGACTCCTGGCTCAGCGTCATAATTTATCATGCGTTCTTGGCGATACCAAAACATGAATGTCGGTGGCTCTGTAGCTCCTAAAAGTTGGCATTCCAAACGCAAACTTGATCCTTGTTTAACGTGAAGATCAGGACCTCCAGGAATCACGGAGTATGCTTCGGTTATTGTCAGTCTTACAAAGTTGTGTGATATCGGGTCTGTGGGTATCTTAAACAATTTAGATCATTATTATTTATCGGACAGATGATGAAGAAAGAGATCAAAAAAATTCAAAACTATGTTCATTGTTAAATCTGAAATTTGAAATAGATAAAAAATAATAGATACGATGCGATGACCCATGACCATAGCTACATTCACAGATCAATCATTTTATTAATTAATATATTGTTTTCTTCATTATATATTTTTTACTATCCATCATTTTTGCAATAGATAAAACTATCACAATTTATGCTATGAATAATTAATAATTTGAAATATTTTTTTAAAAATAAAAATAGAGTGCAAAGCTAATCTAGTTAATTAATGATATCTAAAAACGATTCCTTTATGGAATATCCTAGTTTTTTTACATTATAATAAATTATTTAAATTTTATTTTTATATTATATTATACTCATTGTTTATAAAAAAAAGTGTATCACAGAAGAGAAAATCATGATATATTTTTAATAAATATTAGTTAAAAAAAACTGTACATATTCAAAGAAAAACTAATTTTTCAAATAACATTCAAAATGAACTAATAATTCTGGTATTCTTTCCTCTATCGCTGTTGAATACAATAATTAATTCTAGTTTATTTTTAACGAATAAAAATTCAGGTGTATTTTGTTTCTTCGTATGTAACTTTTTATTCTATTTAATGCAAAGTTAATTTTTCATAACGTAATTAAATTATTCGTATGTTCTTAAAAGAAAAAATAATAGAAACTCTGATGATATAACATTTTAAATTCATTAAATTAATTTTAATTGTAACAAAATAATATCTAACTATTGTAGACAAAAGTGTGACTGGGTCATTGTATTAATTGTTCTCAGTTCGTATTGTTAGAGATGTCATTAACAACTTCTCAAAATAATACGTTTCGAGTAAATCTTGACTCACATTTGAAATATATTTTTATCACTATTATTTTTTATTTAATTCTCTATCAATCTTATATATTATTCCCATACTTTCAATGATACATTCATTATTACTTTATCATTCTCTTGCTTATCAATACATAATTGAAGACATGAGTGGATGAAGATGTTATGTGGCGAACAATGTTTTGTAATTATAATTAATTGAAATTCTGATAATTGACGGTGGCCAAATGATTATTATTATATTTATTACACGTCAGTTTGTACAACTACAAATATTTTTATTGCAAATTTCTACAAAATTTCAATGACGTTACATAACGTCTTCATTCACTCATATCTTCAATTATGTAACTCTTTTATTACTTGACATTCATATAGTCCAGCATCTTCATATTTTACGTTTCTAATAGTCAACGTCCAGTCAATAGCAGACGGCCGCACAACAAAGCGAGAATCCATTGAATGAGTTTCACTGCCAACTGTCAACAACTGCCTATCTCTTCTTCTCACCCACGTTACCTTGAAGGAAGTAAATAAATCAATAAATATGATCATCATTGAAATTAAACACCATTTTTATAAAAAAAATCAAAATACGTCAATATTTTGGTTGATAAATATAAATTTACTTGGGATAGTAAATGAATAAGTGGTAATAACGTTTAAACTTTCGTGTTAAAGCTTAATTCTCTTGTTGGAATGATTTGGTAAAAGGTTTTTGAGCTTGAATAAACATTCTTATATATACAAGTCTAAAATCAATAGTGTATTTCGTATTACAGTAAAGGCTGTAGCAAATATGTTTAACTTTGGTCTTCAGTGAAATTTCACGATCTCGTGCGTGTTTCATAGGTATAAAATTGCGACCGTTAATTCGCTCACTAACTAATCTAGTTCATAACTCGTCATGGTTTTTCTAGTACTGTTTTGGAGGTATAATTTTTTCACACTACTTTGACTGATAGTTGTTTCTTTCCCTGTTTGCCGTTGACGATTCAATCGATTATGAGATTGAAAAATCTCATTGTGTACGTCACTCATTTTCTACGGATATAGGTTACTCAAATGCAATTTCTCGTAGGTTGCATAAAATAGCCGTGAGCGAAGCCTTACAAACTTTTTCATTCGCATCTTTACAATACCTCTATAGGAGAAATAGATGGAAGAAAAACTATCAAGCCATCAGTTTACCGATTAATCTACTGTTCCAGATTCACAACAGAAATTGCTTAAAAACGTAGTTTTATTATCTATTTATACCAGTATTGGAATAATTTATATTTGACACGGAGAGAATTCTTATCATAAACATTAAAATTGATGAGAATCGTTGATATTCATTTTTATTTATTTCTCTAGAGTTTTGCTGCTCATTTTGTGAGCTTCATAACTTTATTTTACTACCGTTTATTCGATAATTGATATTTGATCCATGCTTAACTCGTTTAAATTACAATATATCTGTTCTTGAATGGTTTTTTTTTAATGTTCCTGAACGGTGTATTTTTAAAAATCTATTTTTATTTCAAAATTAAAAAAGAATAATTATCTAATTCTAAATTGTTAACAAAACATCTTTTCTCATTAACAATCGAAAAACTTTATATTGAACGGTAATTGAAGCTAATAAATTAACTCATCTCTATTCTAAAGGAACAGCTACCGAGTTGTCAATTATTCAAAACTAAAAAAAGCAAATAGATCCAAAAATAACCAAAAATTTTTCTTATACAGTAAAATATTAATGATAAAAATGGGTCTAGGCTTTTGTTATATAATAATAATATACAATTGTTTAATCACATAAAGTTATTTATAATAATATTTTATTGATATTTATCGAATACAATTATAGAGATGGTCATTTAATGAATTAAAACCAGTTTTCATTGTTTATAACAAATCAATATTTTTATAAATAATATACAATTGTTTAGAGTTATGTGAAGTTATTAATAACCATATTGTATTGAGCTCAGTTCCCATCAATATTAATAATCTAATAAGTAGAATCTTTTTCAAATGTCTTTTTAACGAAACGTATTTTATACTCTTTTTGTTATAAAACAAACGGCCGGACCGAAATTGTTGAAACTTCTTTTAGATCTTCTTCATTGTATTATCTTTCAAATAAAATTTGTCTGAAATCGATATCTTCATCAGTGGTTCTTGAGATATTGAAAACGAAAAAAAACCTGACATATGCACATTCATACATAGCTATATCTATTTTAAAATCTTCTAATATTCTTTTAATTGTTTTAAAACGTAAAGATATAATAGAATAACGAATTTCAAAAATCGACCTCATTACAATAACTTCCTAATGGGGAATTAAAAATATGTTGGAAATTTATTACTATAAGAGATGTTTTCATTGAAATAAATTTTTTATGGTACAAAAAACATAATCCTGAAGTTTATTTAACTTTAGTGTGTTTTATTTTCCCAACTTCCCCTGCATTCCACGACTATTACATCATTCCTTCTTCACCGGCTTCCCCCGCTTCATTGAAAATGGTTCTCTTCAGCTTCCGGCAGCCCGCTGTTTTTCTGTCCTCCCACCCCACACACTTTTTCTGACAATTTGCTCTGCCCTCCTTTGTCCCGTATTGCCTCTATGTCGCTGCCTTCCCGTCCCTGGTTTTCCTAGCCCCTCTTGCCCCCGCTCCCGCGTGTCTGCGCCCTTGGCGCTCTCTGCCCCCGCGCCCACCTCTCTCCTACCTTGCCCCTCCCCTTGCCCGCCTCCACCTTGCCCCCTCCCTTGTTTCACTTTCCCCGCCTCTTTTCCCCGCGCTGACCTCCACCACCCTACTCCGCCTTCCTAGGCTGTCGCCTTGGTTAGCTCTTCCCATTTTCTCCTGTCCCCCGCTTCCCCCCGGGCTCTTTCTATGCCCTATCGATGCTTTTCCCTCGTCCTCGGTTTTGCGTGCCGGTCTAGCCTCCCCCTGGTTGCCTCCCCTCTCTGCGCCGCGGTTCTGCCCTCCTTGGTTGCACTTTGGCCCCCCCCTGCATTGTTATTCTCACTGTCTGCTGTTGGTCCAATTCGTTCCCCTCACTTCTTTGCCCTCTCCATCTACCTGCTCGTCCCCCTTCCGCCTCTATCTTCCTCCGTCCCTGTCCTTTCTATCCTCCGCCTTCGTTTGTTCTCGGTCCCGCGCATCTTCCGGCTGGCTTCCTTGCCCACCGCGCTGGCCTTCCTCGTCGGTCGTGCCTCCTTCTCTTCTCTGCCCGTTTTCCTTTCCGAGTTTTTCTGCTCCCCTGTCCCCCTCCCGGTGCCCCTCCGTGTTTTCCGTTCCCCTTCCTTCCTCCATTCCCTTCCCTTGTTTGTTCTGTTTCTCTCTTACTTCCATTCGTTTTTGTGTCCTTGTGCGGGTCGCCCCCCCCCCCGCATCGTTGTCTTTGTTGCGCCCCTCCCCCCGTCCCGGCCTATCTCGTTTCCGCCTCCTGGTACTGTGTTCGTCCGCATATACGCCACCAGGTGGCACCCAAACCCGTTTCGCGCACGTTGTGCGTGGGACAAGCCCTAAATTGGAATCTGTGGGCATGGGCAAATCAGCTTTTGGCTCACTTGTATCAGTATCTGTCAGTCAAGCCTGTGTGAGCATTTCACCTACTTGACCGAAATTAAGGTGTGTGAGCATTTCGCCACCTTAAATTAAACCGTTTTTGCGTTCTGAAAAGGACAACGAAGGGTGTGAGCATTTCACCTCTCCGTCGTCTTACCGATATATATAATGTTTTTCTCCTAGCGGGTTTTTTTATCGTATTTTCTATTACCTCAAAATATTTTCAAATTGTCGACCGTCCTGTTTGATGCAGGTTCTTGCGCGATGTATCAGTCCTTCTACTGCTCCTGCAGTCATTTCAGGAGTTATTGATCCAATCGCTTCATCTATCCTGGTTTGCAGTTCCTGTTCCGATCTCACTGGTGTCTTATAAATCATGTTTTTCATATGGCCCCATACAAAATAGTCTAAAAGATTAAGATCTGGAGAGCGTGGAGGCCATAAGATTGGTCCATATTTCCCAATCCATCTATTTTGATATATCCTATTTAAGCTATCTCTCGCTAAACGACTTGTATGAGCTGGAGCTCCATCCTGTTGAAACCAAATCTGTTGTGGATTTGGTATTCCTGCTGCAGTGCACAGTTCTGGTAATATGTTTGTTATGAATTCATTATATAATTCACCAGTGCGATTACTCTGGAATCTGTATGGTCCTATTTGTCAAAAAGAAAATATACCGTTAATTGATGATAACTAACAAATTAAGGAAAAATCTCTTTTTTTGTTTTAAAAGTAAACTTACCAATTTATTGTTGTAAACGCCAAGCCATAAATTTATTTTGAATCGCGTTTGAACTGTTCGTCGGTCATCGATTGCTTGTGGATTTTCTTCTGACCAATAATGGAAGTTTTGATGATTATAACATCCAACGTTATGAAACGTACACTCATCCGTAAATAAAATATTTTTGATGAATGATGATGTTGTATTTTGTGTTTCTTCATTTATAATCCAATTACAAAACTCCAATCGAGGTGCAAAATCTCCTTCCAACAGCTCCTGAACTCGGGTTTTTTTGAAAGGATGCATTCTCATGCTTTTCAAAATTCGTTGGATATTAGATTGACTTATATTCAACTCTGTTGCAGCTCTGTTTATGCTTGATTCTGGATCAGCTAGAAAATGTTCCAATACTGCATCTTCATTTCGATCACGATGCCGTGAATTCGGTCCACCAACTTCAGAACGATCCATGACAACACTTCCTGTTGTGTGGAACCGATTCGACGCTCTTAAAATGGTCTTCGGCCACGGACAATTGCGATTTGGGTAACGTTCAGCATACGCTCGTGCCGCTTCTTCCGCGTTAAAATTATTCGACACATACATTGTATAATTATCGACATATTCACTGGTACTGTATTTCATTATGATGTTGACTTTCGAAACGACTTGAATGTAAATAAACATGATCTGAAAATGTTCAGTATTTATACTGTTTTACTTTGAAGGGTGGCAAGGAAACAACAGTGGAGGTGGAAATTATTTTCTGCACAACACTACTACCTACTTAAGGGATCTTAGTCTAAACTCATTCGTAAACCTTGAATAGGCCATAAATAAAAATAAAAAATCTTTACTCATAGGCAAGAACAAAGTCCTTCGGTCGTTGTTTTCTTATACTGTCAGTTGTTAATGCATAAATCATAGCAAATTGACAAATAAAATAAAGTCAAAAATTCAAATGCGAAAAAATAACGGTAAAGTAGTCTTGCTTCGGTTGTGCATTATCCTCTCGAAATCGCAAATCTTGGAAGTGCGGAAAACGCCTGCCCGCATCTATAAAACACGCTAAACCTAAATGGTACTACCTGCCCTGAAGGTCGAAGATAGTTTGACAAATGGAGAAATGAGGAAAATTAGGATATTGAACTGTGACTTACAAGCTAATCTGTATTACTCAGAGAAAAGTACCTTTCTTCGTGTATAGAAAACAAAAATTTGCA